TTTTATCGCTACGATAATCATTGTATTTAAACCTTTTTGATCAGTTTCTATATATATGCGACGTGACTGTAGAAGAGTAATCGAAGATAGAATAATGAAAAATTTGATTTCCGCTAATTAGTTGGTTGGTTGGTTTTCTTAGTGATTTATGCACATGAAAAATTGTCTCAGTGAAACCCAACCGAGAATGTTTAATAAATGAAGTTTATTACTGCGAAAGTTTATGTTCGGGAAGTTGTCTAGTTTATGTACGTGGCAGGTCTGTTTTATTCACGGTTCTACCAGTTACACATGAAAACCGGAACCACTGTAATCCCAATGATATGAATTGAAAGCACAGAGGCTGTCACAAATAAAGATTTATTGGCTTTCCAAAAAAACATGTATCTCAAACAAGTCGTCCAGTACTATCATCATTAAATCATACACACTCACTTATTGACTTATTTTGCACACACAATGATTAATTATGAAACATTATACAAATGAGAAGATAAACATACTATGTTTGCACAGTATAAGATAAAGTATATAAGTTTACACTGAACGAAAGTTCACATCTGTCATACTGAACAAAATTTACAACTAATTATTACAAACATATTGACCTGAATTATTAATACACTGGATTTCATAAAACCAGTATTGTAAAGACTAAAATGTTATGCTAAGAATAAAACTAATGTCGAAATATCACATCAGGGCTAAAGCTAATATCATAAATTGTCAACTTGTGTTCACAAAAACTTAAATTCGCTTTTCTATTCCTACTTATCACGAAATTACAGTTCTAGATGTCTAAAATATAATGAATTTTATTAGTATGGGAATTTGTAGAGATTGTAGTGTTTTCAGAGTTGAATTTACGAGTCGATTTAATCTAGATCGCCTGGAAGCACTTGACTGCCGTTTCGTCCTAGTGTGAGACTATTCAACAGTGTGCATCTAAAATCTCACATGCAGGACTCGAACTCAGAACGCTTAAACTCTAGACCACAGAGCCGATATACACTGAATTTTGTTACTGTTCGAATATTTCAACAATCATCTCATACAGCTGGTGAGATAGTCTATAAATCCCTAACATGGAAAGTTGATATAAAACGAAGATAAATTATTATTATTCATTAATACAATCAACTGGTTTTTACACTTACATATAGCCATGTAAAAAATTTACAGTAATAAATAAATAGGTAAACTATATTGTTAGTTCATTTAAAAGAAGGGAATCAGTAAAGTTTAGGATAGTTCATTGTGCAAATCGATAGTTTCCTTTGTTTTATTGGAATTTAGATTTCGTGTAAAAGCCGGTTACTGAGTAACAAGAATAGAACTAACTTGTTAGTTAGCAATACAAAATGATCAACAAATAATATTTAAGACTAACATAGAAATCTTTTATGAAAATGATACATAGAAGTTATGTATAAAACTTATCCTATAAATCTTTCTTGAGGATAATATACAGGGTAAAATGATTAAGCTAATCACAATGAAAGGAAAATACTAAAACGTGTCTAAAAAATATACCTAATTATTGTCCTTTCAAGGAGAATCTATAATTAGATAGATAAATCTATTAAATGATATGAAACCTATACGTATATTATTCTTCATGCTTCGTTTGATATTGAAGTGAGTATATGTTCAAAACGTTATTTGTACAGACTAACCAAAGATTATGGTTATTATTTAATGAATCCTGATCTAATGATATATTAATGATGCCTTATTTGTACATAATAAATTATTAATAGAACATTCTAATGTTAACTAACTTAGTCTCAACGTTGATTTGTTTTTCTTAAGATGAACATATTTGATCATGTTCAGAGATTTACTGTTATATGATTTATTTTTGCGTCGGCAATTATAAAACCAATGATAAATAAATACCTCACTTAGAGAAATCAAATAGTATGAACTTATGGAGAAACTGATAATTTAATAAGACTTAATACAGATGATTAGTATACAAAGCTTATCTCCACCTAAAATCCCTTCTGTTACTAATCAACATATGCTCACTAGTAACTGGCTTCAAGCTGTATATGACAAGCAGTGACCAGTGAAATTCAACCATGTCAGTTGTGAGATAGTAACTAACTGATGACAATGATGGATGTGTCACTCAATTTCGTGGATTAGTTGGAGTTAGATATTAACACTATTGGACGCCGGCTCAGTGGTCTAGTGGCTAAGTGCTGGAGCGCGAGAACGATAGGTCCTGAGTTCCGATCCCGCGAAAGGATCGTGGATACGCACTGATGAGGAAATCCACAATAGAATGAAACGGCCATCCAGTACTTCCAGGTTTTCCATGTTGGTCTAGCTTCAAGTAACTCATGATCCCAACTATTGAAATTATCGGTGAAATTTGAAATCGGCTATTTTGTTAAATTACTTTCATACATTTTGATAAAAAAGTTTTGGATACTAAACAATAATTTTGTTATTAATATGATGAACTCATGTGGAATAAACATGATCATAATATCCATATCTAATTGAAACCTATGCTCGACTTCTAATATCTCATTACAGAAAAAATGACAAATTACTTTAAGATAAATGTTTGTTACAAATGGTATATTTTACCAAAATGTGTAGCTAACAGAAAAAAACAATTAAGTATTACTTTTTCACTATCAAGTTTTGAAAATATAAAGAAATATTGTAGTACAGTTGGAAAGCTCCAAAGTTATATTTTGGATGAAGTGATATGATGGTGACGACGACGTTTAGCTGACAAGATTGATCTTATCGGCATTTTATTCTTCTAACTGTAAAACCTCTAATATTTATCAGTGATCATTTAGCTTCTACCTTGCTCAGCTACGCTTTACTTGATTAAATAGTTTATCGGTAGTCTGTGTCAGATATTTGTTGACAGAACATAGTAATGGAGACGCTGATGGAATAAGTGTTCCCTTGTAAAAGCTTAACTTTCGGTGAAATCCTTCTGTTTTTTCGAACAATAAGAAGGATATCATATTTATATGAATCTTGAGATAATACAAAAGATTTCTGGGCGAGACTGTAATAACCAATCAGACTTAAGATAACAGGTCTTGCATTTTAGCGTGAAATTCATCCATTCATTTTGCTAAATAGTATTTCGGCATTATAACTGATGTCAATTCGTAATGAAAACTCTAAATCTAGTTCGTAACCCTAACCATCAACTGTGAACCATAATTATAATTCCTCACATTGCTTTATAACCTTTAGTCCTGGTTATTAGATGGACATTTTCAACATCATCTTAGCAATGCTAAATGATTGTTCATAAATTATAGTCTCATCGATTCCTGTTTTGGTAGATTGATTGTATTGCACTTTCATAATTTAACCTCAAAGATTGAAACTATCAAAAATGGTATAGGTAATAAATATGGAATTCGTGTCAATTCTAAACTCCCATGAAATAATGAACCGAATCCTCAGAAACTATGCAATTTTACAAAATTTTACATTCAAACTAATTTTTTTTTTTAAAGATGAAGTTTTTCTTTTGAGTGACTTTAAAAATGTCAAGTCTTGGTGACACAAATATATATATATATATACATATGTTTTATAGTTCAGTCTTATTAATCAACTAAATGGAGATGAATTCTTCCTTATTGTTTTTTCTCTTTTTTTAGTAGGCTAATCTTAAAACATCTACCATCCTGGATTTTACCACACAATCAATCTGTAATAGAATATTGCCAATCAAAATCTGTGATCAATTTGAAATATCAGTAACCTTATTTTATTTTTTTTAATTTATTTTTAACTACGAAACATTCTTTTTTTTCACAGTAGGTGATTTAAACAATAACAGAATGTTAGACAAAAAAGAAACGAATTTATAACAATCTAATATCAGGTCAAATAGAAGAGAAACATTTAAAAGAAATTAGATTTTCATTATTTTGTTTGAATAAAACAAAAACAACAACATAATGTATCGAAGATGATGATGTTTCACATCGATATTGTTGTTGTTTTTTCTTCCTTTTTCAATATCTTCTTTTACAAAGTGACTTTAGTCATACATATCAATGATTGATTATCATTAGTATAAGTTACAGTAAAGTTGAACTAGATAGTTTCAAATAAGGATAATTATATATGTATTTTTTTGTTTTTATCCCAACGAGTAGAAAGATTGAATTTCTGACGTTTCGTAACTTAATGTAAATCACTTCTTCAAAGTAAATAAATAACTGACATTAAATTAATACAAGTTTGAATAGTACAAAGGAAACAATGTAGAATTTTCTTGATGTAATCGGAACCACAATAAGTCTGAATATGTTAACTTCAAGTTAATTTTTATCATAGTGAATTTGTACAACCTCTCATTCTTGTATTCATTTATGTGTCAGAATGTGGATATGAAAAATGTATGCAAAATTTGACATGAATTTATTCAGACCTATTATGATCATGATTATATCAAAAATATTATCTATTGTTTTCTTTGTACTATTTAAACTTGTGTCAATTTAATGTCGATTGTATTTCACAAGGTGACCTTCTTGATTATCTGGGCTACCTGTTCGTGCCATCTGGATATTTCAACAAGTTATCTGCTTTCCTTATTTGTTTTAACATATCATTATGCCTATTAGCCACAAAACTTATTGAGATGCGTTTGTGAAAAATTTACGTCATTTCGCTGTACAAGTTAGGAAAGAGCACAATCAGAGACATCGTGGTTGCTGGCAATATATGTCGAAAACAATATACATTAATCAGATGTTGATTCCTAAACTGTTAGCTCACTCACTCAATATTTATCGTCAGGATCAATCAATAAATAAGAAGAGGAATCTTGTTGTATTACTTTGTGCTGAGAATTTTATGTTGTACCAAAAATATAATATTGAATAAAGCCACTATCATAATAATACTAATCAGTAAAGCATATCAATGTAGAATTAAATAATGGATTTATTTATGAAATAATTATATTATTTAGAAAACACAAAATAAGTAGAACTTACTTTGCCGATGATACTTCCAACTTCCTAGAATTAAAAAAATACCAAAAAAAGCAGAACAAATGAACAACACACCATAAATCATTTAGTTAACAAATTTCCAAACCTTTAACATTGAGTTATGTTGATAATTTAAACTGTTGAATTTCAATATCTAAACATTATTGGAGATGGACTTTTCAGCATGAATAAACAAACTCAGTTTAATATTCAATATTTCTTTCTTAGTATTCACTATATTAAATTAGACCAATGTAGGAATATTTTAAGTGGTTGTTAGTTATTATACTTTAGATTGGAAAGAATTTATTCAGGAAAGTACTTGGAAATATATAACACGTTAGTGGCTATGTAAATTGTTCTGATAACCAGTGACATTTATCTCCAGGGTTTATAGTAGATGAATCTGTCATATTTAATTCATATTTATTTATATTTATAAAAAATCATTTTAGTAAGAATGTTATAAACCTTATTGTTGTATGAATGGTCAATAATGTAGGTTACTATATCAAGTTTAGTTTTTACATGAAGAAACGCTTTGGTATTATTATCATTAACTCTAATTGCCATGGAAATATTTGTACATTAAAATAGAATTTCAAATGAGTAATAAAAATTTTCTTTAAGAAAAAGTTATAACTTTTTTTGAGACAGAATAAGCCTAATTACATTTAACTATTAAGGCAATAAGTTTTGATTAGATTAATTATAAGTAACTTATATTCAGTGCATTTCTTCTGGGTGATGTGTATGAAGGAATTATGTTGATTTGATTCTGACTAAGTATTATTTAGATTAATAAATAAATTTCATAATTGAAGTTGGAGACAGAAAAAGTATTGATTTTATTGATGCTGAAATGACGAGAAAACATAGCAGAACTCTATGAGAACCAATCTGTAGGAAACACTGGCGGAAGGGTCAGCTATCAAGTTTTCACTGGGTTTTTAATAGCAGGAAGGAAAACTGAATTTTATCCCTCGGTACACGAATAAAGAGAATTTTCAGTCCCGAAGTCGTAAATAACGAACTGTACCTCTTTACGAAAATACGTATCTGGAACGATTATCTATCGGTAAAAAGGCGTGGGAGTTGGTCAATGGTCGAACACCTTGTAAACACATTTGTACAACCAAAGAGGATTCTGCGTTCAAAGTCATCTTAACGTTAAGTAGAAAACTGCCAAAATCAATTATCTTCCATCTTCTTAGCATTACCGAAGCACCAGTTATACATCTGGAAAAACCAAAATTAATTATCCAAAAGAAACTGATACTGTGATCCTACCCTCAATTTTATTTCTTTATACTTTTCTTCCTTCACAGCCATCTGTTTGTCTTTTATTTCACCATAGTCTTTTTACCCCAACTGTCTTTTTTGTTTCTATGATCCTCCTGATTACAATTCATTTCAATTTCAATATTTTATCATGCTTAACCTTTCCTTCTCAATTATAATTTCTTTATCTATCGTCATGGTTAATATTCAAGCTCTCAATAATAAACTCACCAATAGTTTCCCTGATAAAACTAACGTTTTAAAGTCTTTGTTTAGTCTACTTCACTGTAACGATGTTTCATAGAATTTTACCATCACTATTAATGAAATTACCATTTCCAAAAATAAATATGTAGGTGGGACTATAATTTATGGACGACGTTTTAGTGGCACTAGAGTAAACTTGTGAGTGTTCACCTAAAAACTAGGACCTATACGAGCGTTATAAACAAGTTTAAAGAATTATAACTGTGATTTACAGTTCATAGTTGAGGTTAGGAATTAGATTTAGGGATTTCATCACGAACTGACATCAGCTACAATACTAAAACTCTACTTACCCAAATGAATGAGTGAATTTCGCTTGTTATCTTACACCTGATTGATTCGTCCATAAATTCTAATCTCGCCAATATGTACATTTGCGATTGCATAAGTTACAAAATGAATTCAACTAAAAGAGCACTTTCCACTAAAATTAAACCTTATTTTATTTAGATTAGATATTGTTTAAATAATTCAAATTATAGGTGATTGCTTTCATTAGATAACATGTCATTTATCTGTATAAGTGTTGAGGATTTCAAACACTTAAGAATAAAGTATCTTACACTATTGTGACTGTGTTCGCTGATATCAATGAAAATTACATTGAATAATATTTACTTAGATAATAATTTCGCTGGTTGAAATCATGAGTCAATTGAAGCTAGACCACTATCGAAAACCTGGAAGCACTGGACGGCCGTTTCGTCCTAGTATGGGACTCCTTCCAGGTTTTCCATGGTGGTCTAGCTCTAATTGACTCATGATTTTAACCAGTGAAAATTCTAAAAAATATTCACAAAACCCATTCTGATATTAGATAATAATTGTTATAACTAACCTCTAATTTAAACATATTTTGATCAATAAGGAATTATATTATGGTTCATATAACGACCATGTATATAAAAGGTCTCTTCATATTTTGAGTATTTATTGAAGTTGATACAATATGATATTACTAATATTTTAAATAGATGTTTTATAAGTAGTTCATTCATTCTTTGATATAACAGTTAAAGTTTATCTACTTTTAGTAAGTCGTTTATCATTCAGCTAATCCATAATCATTTTTTATTGATTTGAATATAAATTTATTATCATTTTATACTAAAAGGAATAAAGTCAATTACAACCGAATGGTTGACGAAACTACGTTTCAAACTTCAAACAAAACAGAAATAAGTTTAATGATCAATCTTATATGTGGGATAAAGTGGTCTTATGGTGGGAGAAAGTTGTTATTTTTGGTTATGTAATCATTTAAAGGATATCCTGGGACAACTATTTTTTAGATTGAATTCAGTTAGAAATGATAAGAGTAATTTATTACTCAAGCGAAATCTTTTAACATTATTATTTTCTTTGATTTAAATTATTTGATTTTGGGATGTATTTCTGTACAGTCATAGCAACGACTACTTTAATTAAAATGGGACTTTTTAAAAACAATACAGCAATTGTTAAATGTTTGCTTTAACGAATTTATTTTCGATTGTTTATCATTAAAGGTTTTGTATTTTTCATTCGGTTAAATTACTGACTAGGATATGCAATAATCCTTGTTATGTGTATTTCTATCATTTATGATTTTAAATGAATTGACATATTCATTGAAGTGTGAAGATTTTTTGGATATTTTCAATTGAATATAGATTTACATTAAACATGTGTGTTCAAGGTAATCTCTGAGCCACTATTTTCAGTTCATTTAACTCGTCTAATTCAGTGAACTATGAACGGAGGTATTTAACTAATCAATTCAAGAGATCAAGAAAACATATGTTTGAATGTTTAATTACTATTTTCATCATTGTCAAATGTATATTAACCTCTCCAATGATTCAGTTATTTAGTTATCTTTTCAGAATATCAACAAACTATTCATAGGTTCACATTTAGATTATTATTTTGCTGATTATAAAGAGTGTTACATAATAGCAGGTTATATATTTAATGTTACATGACATAACATAACATCATACCTCCCCTTTATATACTGTTACATAATTAAAATTGTCACTATATACCAAGTATTTTTCATTCTATAAATGCTAATAAAAAACTAATTACGTTTAAGTAAAAGCAGAAGTAGAATAATTAGCTTTGTACTTAAATTGGAAACTTGACCAAGATTACTTGTTTTTGGACCGTTATTATTAAAAAAACACAACAATAATAACAAACTACACTTGTTGAAATCATGAGTCAATTGAAGCAAGACCACCATGGAAAACCTGGAAGCACTGGACGGCCGTTTCGACCTAGTACGGGGCTCCTCAACAGTACACATCCACGACCTCGACCCCCCGCGGGATTCAAACCCAGGACCTACTGGTTTCGCGCGCCGGTACTTAACCACTAGACCACTGTGCCGGCATCCAACGGTGTTAATGTCTAACTTCAACCGAAAGTTTTAAACCAATCCCTTCTGATAATAACAAATTAGTTTTCACAACTAGACTCATAGTTGATGTTGGTGAAATAATTGCTATTTAAATTGGCCAGTCATTTACGAGTTTTTACATATTTTATTCATGTGTATTGGAAAGTTTTAACAAGTAAATAAAGAACAAATTCCCTAAGATTGACAATACATGTGCCTTCGGTAAAAAACGATTTTTTCGAAGATCTCCATCTACGTGATAAAGAATTATTAACCAACCTACACAGTAAGCGTTCTTATCATGGTTTGACTTGTAAACTTCAAATAAACTGGATATTTGGTAATCAGTTTATAATCATAGAATAATAATACACTTGTAATATCTCAATAACTAATGAACTGGATTTCCGACGTTTCATGTAAGTAACTCATTTTCAATACATTGTTGAAGTTTTGATTAGTAAATATACATAAACATCAGGCTTTTTTGTCATCATAGACATTAATCCTCGATTTTTTATGGTTGTAAGGATAAAATTAACTTTTTCAAAATATTCTACCTTTCATCCATCAGTTGCTTTAAATTAACTAAGTAGAATGAAAAATATCCCACTAGTTACTCAGTAGTTAATATTCTATAATACTAGTTGACTCGCATCCAACCATCCAGCGTCAGAACATTAAGTTGGGTTACTTTGATAAACAGCTACAATCCAACTTATTTGACAAAATAAAGGCTAGGCAAACATGGTATTGTTTACTAATCTGTGATTAAATAGTACAAAAGAGAATTGGAATTTAAAACTTTACCATCGAAATTCTTAATGTAAAATAACTTATCACAAAGTATCCACAGTGTGATTACTCATTTTAAATAAACTTAACGAAATTTGGTTCACTTTTACATTTTCTGTCATAATATTTGAAATGAATCAGTACTTGTAACTGTAATCTTTGGCATGGACCTAATTTCAAAAACAATTTTCTCACTAAATTCTTACTAATGATATTTGACAAATGTCCAAAACTAAGAAACAATACGATCATTATCAATGACCTTTGTAACCATTCATAATCTACAAATTTTTTGCCTATATGAGGATATTGTAATATGATCTGCAAATAGGAGAATGTAATATTACTCGATTTATTCTTTCGATAACATTTTCAAGTTGAATATACAAAGGTTTTTTTCGAGGAACGTAATGACGGCCAATAAACTTCAATTTCTTAATTAATAATATGTACATACAATATTCATAGTAGAGTTATTCAGTAATGCGATATGTTAAATATAATATGTGTCTTCCCTAAAGAGAGTAGAATAGACTATTTTTAACAAGACAATATGACCCAAACATCGTGTGATCGATTAGTTTTGCCTTTTTGTAAACAACCATGGAAGTTATACATTCATACTAAAAATTTAGTGATTCAATTGTACAGTGATAGGCAAAGAATTTTGTATTTTTCGTAGAAACAAACTTTTAGTGTTTTCAAGCTATTTTGACCATTAATAATTGGTGAAAAATGTAACCTTCGAAGAAAATGATGACTAATATTTTATACTATCTGCCATTACGAAAACAACAGTTGAATCATTTTTCTAATGTTTCTAACTGAAAAATAAAGTCATTCAATATCATTCTTATTCAAAGACAAGTTTACATCTGTGCACTGAACGTTGAAATTAGAGCTGTTGTACACATCATTTGCAATCGTTTACAGTTTTTTGTGAGAAAACAATAAAAAAAGAAGCTTGACAGCTTATGATATGGTTCATTTGACATTTTATGGAGTCATATGTATAAAATGTCTCTCAAGTCAATTTAAAGGTCGTCCATTAGATTTTCTTAAAATGTTCTGAATAGAAATAATAACCATTCAAACATGTTCTCAGTCAATCAGTTGGTACTATAAAATATTTTAACCTATTCAGAATAGTCAAACTAGTTTCTTCGTTACATTGAACTGAAGACAAATATATGAATCGATACATTAAAGATTTTTTAACAACATTACATATCTAGACGAACATATATACATGGGCAAATATGATATCCATCATATTATCCCATGGGATTATTTGATTTACTTGTCTTTTTTCAACTAATTAGTGTATCTCAGTAGCAGAATATTTGATCGAACGATTGACTTGACACTTTATTCCGAATCATTCTATCCTATATTTACTGACTTTACTTATTTACAAATAACACAATTTCGAAGTACTTATACCATGATAGATTCAAATGTTCACCATTTTTAACGTATCGCAATAATTATGGACTTGTCACTATAGAGACTTATGATGATGAAGTTATCAAAAATAATTGTTCATTCAAATATTCTTCATTTTTAGATTGAGATCATGAAACGATTGATGTTAGACCACCGTTGAAAACTTGGAAGCACTGAACGGTCGTTTCGTCCTGTTGTGGGACTCCTCAGCAGTGCTCATCAACGATCCCGCTCGAAGGATCCGAACCCACGGCTTTTATTCACGCGTGCAAACGCTTAACCTACTGGACCACTGAGCTGGCATTCAATGGTGTCAGCCTCTAACATCTTCCATTGTACCGAGGTAGATACCTGTCTCTACCCGAAATGAATTAGCTCTACTGGTCACGGCTTCTCACTGGAACTCCAAGAATTCCCTCATGAGGCTTGTCACTAGTGGGCACATGGTAAGTATCAGTATGGGAGTTGTAGAGATTATTAAGTTTTAGATTAAAATCATGAACCGAATAATGTTAGTGCTTCCAGATTTCCAATGATGGTCTAACATCAATCGGTTCATGATCTCAATCTAAAACTTAATAATCTCCATAACCCCTATACCGATTCTTCGTTTTTAATGAATATATCTAAGACATTCTATTTATTGCAATACTTTCTTATTGTCAAGCTTAAATAATACTAATTATTAATGTCACAAATCTTTCTTTAAATAATTTTAGCTAATCTATGACAAACGGTATTATTCAGTTTTATTTATGATTATAAACTTCATAGTTATTGTCAATGATGGATATTTTCAATACCCGTTTCATTTATGAACTAGTCAAGATTTAAAAAAGAATAGGTATTTAATTCTATTCAAGCTATCATAATTTTTGTTCTTATATCACGCAATATAGAAATGATATAATTGACTAGTAAATCCAAATATGAAAAGTCATCATAGTCTTTCTTTTATATGAATACAGTTTCCTAAGTAGTTATGATCATTGAATGACTGAATTGTTTTAATTGTTTATTATTATAACAGAACCTAATCATTGAAATGGGTTTGAATATTTATGTACTTTAGAAAAAGAACAACCGACCATTAGTTTGCTTGAATAGTTGAATGAGAATTCATAAAATAAAATATACTGACCATTGAGTTTACAAAGTATACTATAACATATAACATAGAAGAGCATTCGTTTAAACAATACGGACCAGTTCAAGATATTCATATACATTGGTAGGATTAGTGTTGTTGTCGGTAAAGTAACTATCATCAACCGTTTGTGAACATTTATGTTATGGTCTTAAATTAGTCTAAATGGTACATTATTATTATTATTAACTGTCAAGTTTAAGTGAATTTTCATTTGTACCAGATCAACAATTTGATTTCAGATATTTTACTATGTCTAATTGATATTGTCATTCTTACTGTTTTCCCCTTTTTTTTTTACCAACCATTTTGTGTTGATGTAGGCAGTGATAATATTGATCATGTAGAGCAACTGAAGATTTTCTTTTAACGTTTTACAGGAAAATAATAATTATTATTAGTGGTGATGGCATTTTAAAAATCTCTGAATGTAAAATATGATCACCATGTTAAGCACTTAAGGGATTTAATGGGTGTCTGGAAAATAATTGATTAGAAGTTTACACATGAAGGCAGTGGAATTTTGGAATTATTCTCATCGCCATGACGATCACAACCTAATCAGATAATGGGATCAGTAAACATGGTATGTTATCTAATTACAACTTGAGCGAAACAACTGTTTGGTAAGGACTTTTTAGATTACGTTGATTTTTCAAGATTATATTGTGGATTGATCTTAGTCAAACATGCATTGAAAATTATGAAGCCCTAGATAGCTATTGAGTTCGAGTAACGATCCTTTCATCGGATATATAGCAACGACCTAATTATGAGTCAAAACCAGTACCTTCATGTTTTAAATAACCAAGCCATCATCTAATGGTTTACACGTTTAACTGCAATAACTCTGGGATATAACACAACCATCCCCAAAGTAACTGATGGGTAAGTGCCTCACGTGGCATCGTTGAACTTCACAACTCAAAAGTTCACATTAGAACTTCGTGAATCACCTCTCAAAATTATTATTCGCTAAAGCGGGTTTGTAGAGATTGTTAAGTTTGGATCTAAAGGTTTTCAATAGATATTTAACTAAGATCAGTTTGTGATTTTATCTACAAAATAACTAATTGTTGTTCAAAATATAATAAATTAATCATTTAGTAATTATTGCTCTACACAAGGAAAATTCATTTCACTTTAGTTATGATCATTTTTAAACCACCACTTCATCTTGTCAATCAACATTTTAGGTAGCGAAATAATTAAAATATTGAAGGCAAAAATGATCAACTTTCTAATTAAAGACAAAATCAGAGTTTCCTTACAATTTATAACTATTTTATACGTGAATTCATTTTGGATTGTTTGTTTGAAACTTCACATTGATATATAGGACTGCAATTGATTAGTCTCTTATTGGCACATGTACGGTTCGGTTTGCCTTGATATTTCCCTAAGCCACAAACATTATAAACAAAGTTGGATAGTGGCTAGTAATGGAATCCAGGACTCACGTTTCGTCCTATTTTGGACTTGTCAGTCGGACAAACCTATATCCCAGAGTCAATGTTTACTCTGGAACTCAAACTCTATACACTTCGTTTCAAACTCCATCGTGTCCAGTAAACTATTTTAAATATCAATAATACACAATCTTTCATTATCTCACTTAGATTATTCTCTTTTTCATTACTATTGACAATAAACATAAACATAATTGAATAAATAATAACCTACTTTTCCAGACATCAATAATCGTAGTACCAATAATGATGTATTCTGTTGAACATTTCCATTTTCACCATGTGTAATAATTGTTGTAGTTGTTGATGTAGATGTAGATGACAATGATGATAATATAGTTGATTTATCAATTAGTCCTTGTGATGATTCATCTAATAAAGTATTAGATTTTTCAACCGCTATCATTTCTAATCTCTTGCTTAATTCATTTTTATCATTATAATTATTATTTATAGTAATATGATTTGTATTTATTGTTGAAAGTAATGGATTCTGTGCAGTAATATGATTATGATTATGATTGTTATTATTATGATTGTTACTATTTATATGATTATTAGATGTATATAACTTATCACATGTTATATTTGTTGCATGTAATGGTAAATTTATTGATGTAGGATATGTATGATATGCATTTAATATTGAATTAGCATCATTTGGTTGTACATAACAAAACGATTCTGCATTATGTGGATAACTAACATTTGTATAATATCCATTAGTAAGAGTTATTGGTGGACAATAAGGATTTTGTCCAGTTGGTTGTTGTGCTGTAAGCATTAAACCTGTTGAAATATTTGATAGATTTCCAGGTCCTAATGGATTTGGATGTGGTAATAAAGCTGTATGAAAAGTGGAATAAGGTATCATATCGAAATTATTTGGTATGATATCACCTGACATTCCGACTTTATAAGGAGTTACAACACTTGTTAGTGCCATTCAAAGAGAATGACCAAAATCAATGAATAATTGGTTATGAATCAACTGAATGAATCTATATTTTAAAAAAATGTATAGAAAGAAAGGTTTACCAAACATATTGATGCTTCATGAAACATGTGTAAATAAGGTTTAGTTAGTAAAACGGAAATAAAACTAAAACTTTAATAGAAATATGAATGAGTTCTACATTGACAACTTTATTCGTTTTATCTAGAAGCAATTTTTCCACAGTATGCATTAGCAAGCCATATGGTTTTAATCATTCTCAATAACTGTACGTTATAGAAGCATAAATTAAGCTTCATCAATTGCTAATGACGTACATTTTCTCCTTAGAACCATCAATCATGTATTAGAAGTATTAAATTATACATATTCATCTAACCAGTACTGATGGATAAAATATAAATCATCTAATCAAGAATCAATTCATTTGACTAATGATTCGATTGTTCTATTTTTATACAGAAAATAATTAATCAGTAATTCATTTAATACGTTTAGACAGTTTGTCTGAAATTGATACCTATCATCGTCTTACTGTATTTACTTCATAAGTTATGACAGTTAGTTCAATTAGTCAAAGAAAATTATATTCATTTAGTTCATATATTTTATAATTGGATTATATCAGTAGGTTAATTAATTATCTTTTAATTGTCAAAATACTGATAAGAAAAGTTAAAAATAATTTAATAGTTAAGATCATGAATCATTTGAAGCTAGACCACTATAGAAAGCCTGAAAGCACTGGACGACCGTTTTGTCTTATTATGAAAGTTCGCAGCAGGGCGCCCCGTGGGATTCGAACTCAGGACTTATTGGTCTCAGATCTCATCCTACTGGTAGAAATATCTTTCGAGAAATAGTTGTAGAGAAAACAAACTGATCATTTTGATATAGAATAAATTAATTGACATTTTATGAGTTTCCATTTGATTTCGGCTATGTTGCAAACTGAAAAAAAATCAGAGAAGATTTTTCCTAATGGGAAATCAATATTCATTAATTGATTATATTACATTTTTACTTAACTTAGCGTATCTAATCTTAAATTATCAAATTTTCAAGTGAATTGGTCGAAAAGAAAATTGGTTTGTATTTTACAATGGAATAAATATACAAGTGGGATAGAAATAAGTAACTTTAATAAATAACTTTAATATATAGTTAGAACTCATTTGATTGCATGATCTATATGTCATTTGGTTGACATGTGAACCGATATAATTTAATTAACTATTAATTTGAGGGGATTTTGGGGATATTACAGTAAGCTTAATGGTTGAGATCATGAGTTGATTGAAGCTAGACCACAATGGAAAACCTGAAAGCACTGAAGGCTGTTTCGTCGTGGATACGCACTGCTGAGAAGTCCCACAATAGAATGAAACGGCCGTCCAGTGCTTTCAGTGGTCTAGCTTCAATTGACTAATGATCACAACTATTTTAATTATTAATTCTTATTATTAGCTTTATTCAATCGTATATTTTTGGTAAAACATAGAATCCTCAGCAGGAAGTATTTTAACAAGTTTCCGTTTTATTATTATTATTATTATTATTATCAGCTTTATTCAATATTATATTTTTGGTACAATATAGAATTCTCAGCGTAAAGTATTTCAATAAGTTTCCGTTTCTTTCTTCTTCGTCGGTCCTGGCGATAAATATTTAGTGATCGCCAGTTAGATGTTAGCAGTTCACTAAATGAACATCTGAATAATATGCATTCTTTTGGTTGTATATTGCCAGCAACCACATTGTCTCTTATTGAGTTGTTTGTAACTTTGACAACGAAAGGTTGTACACTTTTCAGAAACGCAGCAGAATAGGTTGTGCGATTAATAAACATAATGATATATTAAAACAAACAAAAATAGATAACTTGTTGAAATATCTAGATGACAGGAACAGGTAGCCCAGATGCTCAAGCAGGCCGCCGAATCATTTCTTGGTCGATACTGATGATAAATATTGAGTGATCGCCAGTTAGGAGTTAGCACTTCAGGAATCGACATCTAAATAATGTACATTCTTTTCGAGGCATATTGCCAGCAACCATGATATTTCTGATTGGGCTCTTTTGTAACTTGTACAACTAAAGGTTGCACAATTTTCAGAAACGTACCTGAATAAGTGCGTATTATTGTATTAAAGCAAACGAAAATAGATAACTTGTTGAAACATTCCAATGGAAGGAACAATTAGCCTAGATCTTCAAACAGGCCGCCAAATTATTTAACTTGAATACTCATGTTTGTACAATACTCATAATTAAGTTATAAGCTATCCTCTTTATATGAACAAACAATAGATTAGACTTAAACAGTTTAATAATGAAAATGAATCAAAATTAACTTTTACCCAATCGATAGAAAAAATTATACTTATCACAACAGAGAAACAATTGAAAAGAACTAGAACATTTTTTATTTTATTTTTTGAAAAATCAATATTTTGGTAATTGTAACAGTGCTCAAATCAATGTTTCCTTTTCAAAAACACAATTGAGCAACTTGTAAAGTTATCTTTTCTTTCTTTATTATTATAATCTAATTTGTATCTAGTGAGTAATAATTGAGTGTTTCATAAATTCATAAGATTTTATTTTAATAAATTTTTTACATGGCAACTATTCATGTCTGAAATTCACATAAAGAAATTCGACATAATTCGCTTGATTGAATTCAATTAATGTTATTAATACAGAATATATGTATAAATTCATTTGGTGTTGCTTTACTTGTATCTTCTCAGTGTTACTTAGGACTGATATAGCTTTAAGTCATGAGCTTTTTAAGCAAAGTTGGATAGTGGTTAGCAGTGGAATCTAGGATGTGCGTTTCGTCCTATTTGGGACGGTACTAGGTTCAAGTCCCGGAGTGAACATCAAATCTGAGATGCAGGTACATCCAGCTAATGAGCCCCAAATAGGACGAAACGCGCGTCCTGGATTCCACTGCTAGCCACTATCCATTTTTGCTTAAAAAGAGTGTATATATATGTAGAAAGACGGAGAGGAAAGAAAAGATTGAGGGGCAGAGCATGTTCACATATTTCATTGGGTAATAGACATCATTTTCATTTAAATGTAAGTAACAATATATTCATACAATGTATGTTACCAGTATGGTATAGAGCTCTAATGAATAAAAAAACACTCAATCTATAACTTATTAACCAGCTACGGTTCTCATCGTTAAATTAATTAAAGTAATCCATTAAATAAGGAATTTAATTAAACATAACTTAAAAACTAAAGATAATCAATAACTAGTCAGTAAGCGGACGAATGACAGTAAATAATACACAGATAAGAAGTAGCTTACTTCATAATGTTCCTTATTATTATTATTAATATTATTGATGTAATGTTTTCCACATATTTATCAAATTTACTCGAATGATTTAGGTTTTATGATGAGATTTACAAGCTTATAAATTCAGTATTTAAGTGAAATATTAAAATGTACCTTATTTGATGTAACTAGAAGTAGTAGTAGTGGTAGTGGTAATATGCTTACAATCATTATTATTATTCATGGACTATGAACTCAACTGATGCACATAAACAAAAACAAGAAAAACAACAAAAATTTGTATAAACATAATTAAATAATTCAAGTGCTGTTGCTTATCTAAAATTTTATCATCTGACTTGAATTTATTAAAAAAAATAAGTTAATAACCTTTGAGCAAATAACTGAATACAAATATTTTGTTTCTATGTTAAAAAATAAAAAAAATTCATGAATGTATGAATTAATATTGCCAGTGGTTTATTGGAAACTAAGTCTTTTCATCTATTTCTCAATTTGTTATACTGAAAAAGCAATAGAAATTTGATTCCCTGAATTTATATGACGTATATTAGGTGTTTAATATCAGAAGGTGATTTTGTGGATATTATAGTTATTTCAATAGTTGAGATCATGAGTCAATTGAAGCTAGACCACAGTGGAAAACCTGTAAGCACTTAACGGCCAAATCCCATAAGGTGGGATCGTGGATATGCACTGACGAGGAGTTCAACAGTTGGACGAAACGGCTGTCCATTTCTTCCAGGTTTTCCATGGTGGTCTAGCTTCAATTGACTTGTGATCTCAACTATTGTAATATATTAGTTGTCTTTTTTACGACACAGTATCCAATTAAATGATTCAAACTTATTAGTATTCTCTAAATGATAGCCAAGAAACTATTCATTGTATAGTGATTAGAATTTAAAAATGATTATTATCATTATTAACGCTTACCTTCTTTTGAACAGTACTCATAATATTAATGGAAACTGTTTAAATGTAAGCAACAATATATTCATACAATTTGTGATACCAGTATGAAATATCAAAGCAATATCGAGGCAATACGCACAGTGAGCACATATGTTAATAAGAGACTGATCAACTGCAGTCCAAAACATCAGTGGGAAGATTAAAGTAAATAGTACAAAGTGAATTTAAACTTTACCCCGTTTCACAATCAATTGGCTATCAGGACTCTGTAGCTTAGTGGATAACGAGATGGCGTTTGAAGCGAACGGTACTGAATTTGAGTCTCAGAATGAACATCAACTCTGAAATTCATGTACATCCAGCTGACGTGTCCCAAATAAGACGAAGCATGCGTCCTGGATTCCACTGCTGGCCACTATCCATCTTTGCTTATAATTTTTATATTTCAGGTTATTTGTAGTTTTGCAAAAAGCAGTTTATCAGTAAAATATTAGAGTTTAATTGAGTGTTGCTGATGCTTTTACTATGAAACGACTCATTTGGAAGAAAGTAGCTGTTCATTTATCATCACTACTGCAATTTGATTATTTCGTTACTCGCTAATTGATTTTTCACCTTAGTTTTTCTGAATTAGTTACGTCATGCAATTAGGAAATAACTTTGTGTTTATTGTTTTCTTCCTCACTCATATATTTTTCAGACATTGATTGGATATTTGTAACCTTCCTTGAATTACGGAATAATATATATTTTTCTCATTTCTGTGTTTTAGGTGATTTATTTCTCATTACCTTCTACACTTTTCAAAGCACTA